GCTGGAATACCCATCCACGAACCATTTTCAATGCCCTGGCTGAGGGAAGGAGGTTCTCACCCAAGATTTGACGGTACATGGCCCCGTCCATCGTCCCTTTGATGCGGTGAAGTTGTCCTATCCCCTTAGCAGAAAAACACCCCAAAAGCATAATGTTTCCACCTCCATGTTTGACGGTGGGGATGGTGTTCTTGGGGTCATAGGCAGCATTCCTCCTCCTCCAAACACGGCGAGTTGAGTTGATGCCAAAGAGCTCCATTTTGCTCTCATCTGACCACAACACTTTAACCCAGTTGTCCTCTGAATCATTCAGATGTTCATTTGCAAACTTCAGACGGGCATGTATATGTGCTTTCTTGAGCAGGGGGACTTTGCGGGCGCTGCAAGATTTCAGTCTTTCGCTGCATATTGTGTTACCAATTGTTTTCTTGGTGACTATGGTTCCAGCTGCCTTGAGATCATTGACAAGATCCTCCCGTGTAGTTCTGGGCTGATTCCTCACCGTTCTCATGCTCATTGCAACTCCACGAGGGCTCTTTGGTCTTGGCCATGGTGGAGAGTTTGGAATCTGATTGATTGATTGCTTCTGTGGACAGGTGTCTTTTATACAGGTAACAAGCCGAGATTAGGAGCACTCCCTTTAAGAGTGTGCTCCTAATCTCAGCTCGTTACCTGTATAAAAGACACATGTGAGCCAGAAATCTTTCTGATTGAGAGGGGGCCAAATACTTATTTCCCTCATTCAAATGCAAATAAATTTATAACATTTTTGACATGCGTTTTTCTGGATTTTTTGTTGTTATTCTGTCTCTCACTGTTCAAATAAACCTACCATTAAAATTATAGACTGATCATTTATTTGTCAGTGGGCAAACGTACAAAGTCAGCAGAGGATCAAATACTCTTTTTCCCTCACTGTACAACGTATATTGGGCGAGCGTGTGTGTGTGGCGCGTGTGTGTGTGTGTGTCGTGTGTGTGTGTCTGGCGTGTGTGTGGCGTGTTTGTGGCGTGTGTGTGGCGCGTGTGTGTGTGTGTGTGTCGTGTCTGAATGGTGTGTGGCGAGCGGTAGTGTAGCGGTTAGCGCCCTGCCCGACGAATCCGGACGCTCGTGTGACGGATATCTAAACCGGTCCTGGGTTTCCCCTAGGTCGACTCAGCCTCAAATTAGCACCTGGTGTGGTGTGTAAACATCGCCAACGGGGAGACAAAGGCGGCCCAGGGTTGCTACTCGCCACCCACTCCCTCGTGTATCGTGCCGGCCTTCATAGGTGCTGCTGGCTAACAGCGCTTGTCACAAACGGGGGATCTTTGTCTTTGAATGATGTATGTGCCAGAGGCGGACACGGAAACTTCGCATGGGGGGAGCGCCTCATGAATACACAACACATTTACCGTGTTTCCCCTCGCAAATAACAATACTCTACAAACTATGCATCTCCCACTCTGCACTACCTCCATCCCTGCACCACCTCCCTCCCTGCACTACCTCCCTCCCTGCACCACCTCCCTCCCTGCACCACCTCCCTGCACTCCCTCCCTGCACCACCTCTGTCTCTGCATCACCTCCCTGCACTACCTCCCTCCCTGCACCCCCTCCCTCCCTGCACCACCTCCGTCTCTGCACCATCTCCCTCTCTGCACCACCTCCCTCCCTGCATCACCTCCCTGCACCACCTCCCTCCCTGCACCACCTCCCTCTCTGCACCACCTCCCTGCACCAGCTCCCTCCCTGCACCACATCCCTCCCTGCACCACCTCCCTGCACCAGCTCCCTCTCTGCACCATCTCCCTCTCTGCACCAGCTCCCTCCCTGCACCACCTCCCTCTCTGCACCATCTCCCTCTCTGCAGTACCTCCCTCCCTGCACTACCTCCCTCCCTGCACCACCCCCTCTCTGCACCATCTCCCTCCCTGCACCACCTCCGTCTCTGCACCATCTCCCTCTCTGCACCACCTCCCTCCCTGCACCACCTCCCTGCACCATCTCCCTCCCTGCACCACCTCCCTGCACAAGCTCCCTCCCTGCACCACCTCCCTCCCTGCACCACCTCCCTCTCTGCACTACCTCCCTCCCCTGCTCCTCTCTCCCTCCCTGCACTACCTCCCTCCCTGCACCACCTCTCTCCCTGCACCACCTCCCTCCCCTGCTCCTCTCTCCCTCCCTCCGCAGCCGCTCGCACGCTTCGCTTCTCCCGCCGCACGCACGAGCGAGTTTAAGAGAGGACGACTCCAGACGGGAGACGATCATCCCTCTCGTCGCCCCTCTTATAAATATCACAAATACCACCGCTGTCCCCGTTACAATCACAACGGCGGCACGTGAGTCTGCTGCCACTGGCATCGCTAGCAGCGCACGCCCTCTCGTCATGCGTAGATCATTTCCCAAACAACACCGGGACAAAGGCCAAGGTGGCTCGTACAGCCTCAACCGGCTGTTGGGCCAAGTGTTGTTAGCAAGCACCTATTAGGACCGGCACGGCACAGGAGGGGTGGGTCTATATATATATGATTCTGATGCATGTTGAAATTATTTCGCATCGTACGTAGCCAATCGTGCAACAACAGACGCCGTTCGCCGCTAAGTGGCGGTGACGTCACCACGGCGCTTGTGCCAGGCTAGGTGCACTTTGAGGCCACGCGAAGTGTCGAAGGCCCGCTGGCAGGAGGTCACGGAACAGACCCAGGGTGTCATGGCTTGACTGACTGAGATGACTGAGATGACTGGCAGATGCACCACCTGTACTCCCCATTGTGCCAACTGTCTGCGTTTTAACCGCCCTGCGCTCCCCTGTTATGAGCGTCGCTCTTCTTATATCCGTTGTTGCTGGAGGGCTACTGCCTCCAACTGCCCAGTAGCGTCCTTTACGGACCTCGTGTACAGAGGCCGATCTTGACACCGCTGGTACTGGTCATTGGCAAGTCCAATAAGATCCACATCCCTCTGTACCACATCATTCCGTCTCTTCTCTAGCCCGTGCCGACCCCGTTCACCCCCCTCTATTCGGCCGAATAGAAGCTGCTTTGGGCATGCGCTGGATGTGGCATGCGGGCTACGTGGCCCAGCCAACGCAGGCCCGTTAGCCTGAGGACTTGCACGTGCATACATATATGCATGGACACATTAAGCCCCACAATTGCCTGGCTGTGTAGTTGCCTGGCAGAAACTGCTTTGTTTACGAGTGCCAGGGCGGCATGCCACTGAGATTACCGCTGATTACAATGCAATTGGGATTTCGAGAGATGCGGTTGGTTTGGGGGAGGCCTTTATTCCAGCATTGGATTGATCATGGCTAATGATGATGCTGATGGTTTTTGATGTACAGCCGGCGGCACATGTGCATCACTGGAAGCAAGGAGGCGTATATATTAAATATGTGTAAGAGGCGGGGGTGAGGGAGGGTGGAGGAGCGGTGGTGCAGTGGTGAGCGCACTGCGCTAAGAAATAAACAACCTGGGTGAGTGACATCTGAACCTTCCCTGCTCACACCATCCTCCAATTCACTCGCCAACCCGCACTAACCAGCGCGGTGAAGTATGTTCACCACATCACGTTTTGGAAGCCTTGAATCCATCATTGGATTGACAAACGCATTCATATTGTGATTACCGTATTTTATGCCCGTTGTCGAGAAGAGAGTGAAAGGCGGAGCCGAACGTCTTGCGTGGTCACTTAAACCGTGACAGGTTGAGACGACAGCACGGACGGCTGGCGAAAGGGATTTTTAGACAACGAGAACAGCAGAGGAAGAAGGAGCGACCTTCCCACTGGGTGCAGGTGGACTGGGCCTCGGCTTACCGACGCAGAGAATGCGGTGCAAGGCTCTGATGCAGCCCTTGAGCGTTGGGGTTGATGGATCACACAAAGATCATTGTAGGCCGAGACTCCTAATCTTCCAGGCTAGGAGTCGGCCAATAGATAGCAGTACACCAAGTAGGTTGACCATTTCTATATTTGTGTGTGTACCGTATATCGGATGGTTTGAGTGTTTATCCCCTCCTATGCGTGCGGTTTCTCTGGGCACAGCTTACGTAACATGACAGTGGTGAAACAAAATCATCAAGGGTACGAACTTCCTAAACCGAATCATCAGTACAGTAGCAGCACCGCCAATCCGTAACATCATCGTCGTCATCAATCGCCATCCATCATCCTCATCACTGTCATCTTCATCAGCATACATCAACCCTTGTCAATCATATGTATTACTAATCATCAATCCTTTATCCTTCCATCACACCATCGTCATCATTATCAATCGAAACACCTTTCAATCAACACGCATCCATCAATAACCCATCACGTCGTCGTCGAAGATGAGCAATTCACAACCCACATCTCGATTAATAACCACGATGAGGATCATCTGCACTGCTATCAGCTAAAGGACTTTATAGGGGGCACTCAAGAGTGAAGATCCCCCGTATAGCCTTCGCAGACTATTGGGACAAGTGTTGTTAGCGAGTGGCACCTGCAAAGGACGGCATAGCACACGAGGGGATGGGTGACCAGGACCATGCCCGTGGCAATGTTTACACACCGCACTAATTACTCACGCATTTGAGGCTATGTGCAAAGACAAATATACCCCGTGTAGCCTTATCAGACTGTTGGGGCAAGTGCTGTTAGCGAGCACCTATGAAGGCTGGGACGGTACACGAGGGTGTGGATAGCCAGCACCACGCCCGACCGCCTTTGTCTCCCGAGTGGCGATGTTTACACACCGCGCCAGGTACTCGTTTTAGGCTGAGTCGACCTAGGGGAAGCCCAGGACCGGTTCAAATAATCGTCACCGGTGTTGGCCGTGAGCGGGAATCGAACTCGGGTCGCCAGGTTCGTAGCGCAGCGTAGCGCTAACCGCTACACCACCGCTCCCCATACCCAGGTGCGCACACACACGCGCACACACACACACGCGCACACACACACACGCGCACACACACACACGCGCACACACACACACACGCGCACACACACACACGCGCGCTCATGTCACTTACGGCCTCGAGTTTTCGGAAGCCGTCCAGGGGCAGGAGATCCGCCGAGTCCTTGTGGGAGAACTGCGTGTTCTGCTTGAGCCTCCTCTGCTGGTGGAGCCGAGCGGCATTGTGCAGCTCCATCTCCCGTCGACTGGGCTCCGTCATCGTTACTGTTGCTGCTGAAGATTATGACAGTGGTGAGGATAAGGGGATGGGATGAGTTTGGGTGAGGAGTTGGTGGTGGTGGGAGACCGATTCGGGGGAACAGAGGCTGTGTTGGAGAGCGATGCTGCCAAGACGCAGACGCAGCGAGATGCACAATTCTGGATCGTGGATTCTTCACACGAGGCTGCCGTGCGCACTCAGAGCTGAAGGCAATTCGTACAAATCCGACACGGCACAACTACAAGGGTATTGCTGTCAAGACAACTACGCTCCACACAATGAGTATTATTCTACACGAATCACACTGCACTCTTTAGTATGATGGTAAATATGATACCGTGCGGAATGTCTGTAGGATCGGGATGAGTCTGTGTGCACACTCGACAACCCGTCTCGGTCTGTGTGCGTGGGGGATGTGCTCTCTATATATGGGCGCGGGTGCGTGCGTGTGTGTGTGCATGTGTGTGTGTCTGTCTGTGCGTGTGTCTGCATGTGTGTGTGTCTTTCTGTGCGTGTGTGTGTTGTGTGTGTGGCTGTCTGTGTGTGTGTGTCTGTGCGTGTGTGTGCATGTGTGTGTGTGTCTGTCTGCGCGTGTGTCTGCATGTGTGTGTGTCTGTCTGTGTGTGTCTGTGTGTGGCTGTCTGTGTGCGTGTGTCTGCATGTGCGTGTGTCTGTCTGTGCGTGTATGTGTTGTGTGTGTGGCTGTCTGTGTGTGTGTGTCTGTGCGTGTGCATGTGTGTGTGTCTGTCTGTGCGTGTGTCTGCATGTGTGTGTGTGTCTGTGTGTGTGGCTGTCTGTGCGTGTGTGTGTGTTGTGTGTGTGGCTGTCTGTGTGTGTGTCTGCATGTGTGTGTGGCTGTCTGTGTGTATGTCTGCATGTGTGTGTGTGTGATAGTGTAGCGGTTAGCGCGTTGCGCTATGAACCTGGCGACCCGAGTTCGATTCCCGCTCACGGCCAACACCAGTGACGATTATCTGAACCAGTCCCGGGCCTCCCCTAGGTCGACTCAGCCTCAAATGAGTACCTGGTGCAGTGTGTAAACATCGCCACTAGGGAGACAAAGGCGGTCGGGCGTGGTGCTGGCCACCCACCCCCTCGTGTACCGTTCCGGCCTTCATAGGTGCTCGCTAACAGCACTTGCCCCTACAGTCTGTTACAGGCTATATGGGGGATCTTTGTCTTGTGCGTGTGTCTCCATGTGCGTATGTCTCCATGTGCGTATGTCTCCATGTGCGTATGTCTCCATGTGCGTATGTCTCCATGTGCGTGTGTCTGCATGTATGTGTGGCTGTCTGTGCGTGTGTGTGTGACTGTGTACAATGGTAGCATAACGGTTATCGCGCTGCGCTACAAACCCGGCAACCCCAATTCGATTTTCGCTCACGGCCACCAACAGTGACGATTATCTTAACCGGTCCCGGGCCTCCCCTAGGTCGACTATGCCTCAAAGGAGTACCTGGTGCGGTGTGTAAACATCGCCACTAGAGAGACAAAGGCGGTTGTGCGTTGTGCTAGCCACCCACCCTCTCGTGCACTGTGCTGGCCTTCATATGTGCTCACTAACAGCACTTGCCCCCAAAAGCATGCTGAGGCTATACGGGGGATCTTTGTCTTTGCGATACCGCATCGATGGGAGGGGCTTGGGAAAGAGAGGCGGGGCTACGGGGGACCGAAGCGCGTTCTCCGTTGCTAAGAAACCGGGGAGGGGTGAGGGGAGGGGTCGCGTATCGGAGCCCCCTCTCCCCTCTCCCCGCCTCCCACATGGATTCCCCCAGCTCCCCCCACGTGCCCCCAGCTCCCCCCACGTGCCCCCCAGCTCCCCCCACGTGCCCCCCCCCCCCCGCCCTCTAGAACATGTCTGACGTCAGGACTTGTGCATAGATTAAAAGGGGTTCTAGACGGATCTATGGAGAGCGTTTAGAATTAGTCGTTGATGTTCGTGTAGTTGTTGAATTTGGTAGTTGTTTTCGTGGTGGTGGTGGATATCATGATAGTGGTGGTGGTCACACTGGTGTTGTGGGGAGCGGTGGTGCAGCGGTTAGCGCCACGCTGCGCTACAAACCCGGCCACCCGAGTTCGATTCCCGCTCACGGCCAACACCGGTGACGGTTATCTGATCCGGCCCTGGGCCTCCCGTAGGTCTACTCAGCCTCAAATGAGTACCTGGTGCTGTATGTAAACATCGCCACTGGGGAGACAAAGGCGGTGGGGCGTGGTGCTGGCCACCCACCCCCACGTGTGCCGTGCCGTCCTTCATAGCTGCTCGCTAACAGCACTTGCCCCTATAGCATGTTAAGGCTATGCGGGTTGTCTTTGTCTTTTTGGGGGTAATTTTGATGGCAGCGATGATTATGATGATTATGTAAATTGTGGAGATATCACCACCACCAGCGGTTAGCGTGCTGCGCCACGAACCCGTTCACCCGAGTTTGAATCCCGCTCACGGCCCACCAACACCAGTGACGTTTATCTGAACCAGTTCTGGGGCTTCCCTTAGGTCGACTCAACCTCAAGTGAGTACCTGGTGCGATGTGTAAACATCGCCACGGGTAAGACAAAGGCGGCCGGGCGTTGTGCTGGCCACCCAGCCCGTCGTGCGCCGTGCCGGCCTTCCAAAGTTCTCCCTGTGAGGAGCAGCTGTCCCTGGAAATATTTACTAAACACAGCCACAGCGAGATGCATACTGGATGCGGTGTGCCGCGTGCGGGGGAATGAATCGCCTGCCGTGTCTCCTCCGACGCCTTGGCACGAGTTGAACTTCTCTCACGGCGCTCGACCGGGGCCATGGGCCTTTAATGAACGGCCCTGGCGGATTAAACAAAAATAATACTCGGGGCTTGAAAGCGAGCGGACGTCGTGTGACGGCGAGTTTTGTTCTGATGAAAAACAACCGCCCCCTTCTCCCTCCCCCTGCCTCCCCACCCTGGCTCGCCTCGGCTCCCTCCTCAGTACCCCAGAGAGACATTGAGAGGGACAGAGGGGGAGAGACGAAGGGCGGGGATGAGTCGTAATGAGCTGGGACGACGTGGGTGCGAGAGAATACTGTACATACGCAGCCACTATCTATCCACTGCTGGATGAAGCCGTTGTGTTTTGTTTAAAACAAAATGAAGGGTAGTGGCCCTTCTTCATAGGGCCATTGCCCGAAACGTCGCCTGTTATTAAAATATATATTATGGCCACAGTGTGTTGAGTGTTTTTGTTAACTGTGCTTTGTGCACCACCGTCAACGCAGCAGCAGCATCACCAGGTATTTTGAATTAATTAAATCGGTGAATTAAATCGGTGAAGATGAGTAATTGAAATCAGTTAATGATATACGTGAATGAAATCAATGAAAAATATGAGTGAATTTAATCAGTGAATGATATGAGTGAATGAAATCAGTTAATGATATACGTGAATTAAATCAGTGAATGATATGAGTGAATGAAATAAGTGAATGAGTGAATATGAGTGAATGAAATCAGTGAATGTAATACGTGAATGAAATCAGTGAATATGAGTGAATGAAACAGTGAATGAAATGAGTAAAGGAAATCAGTGGATATTTTAATATAATCAGTGAATGATATGAGTGAATGAAATCGGTTAATGTAATGCCTTAATGAAATCAGTGAATTATATAAGTCATAATAAAGGTTTTTGGGTTAGATCGCGTAGGTATGTGTCAAAACCCTCCACCACCCGACACGGCCAATCAGTAAGGGATTTGTCACGTAAACAAAACAACAAAGTCACTACTTCAGCCCACCGGCGTGTTAAAGAGTGAATCCACAACATTTACAATTTGAGTACGACGTTTCGCTGGTAATTACATCCAGCATCATTGGGCGATATTCCAGAATAGTGGCAAATACTTAAGCTGAGATGAGCGATGCTGGAGCGACACAGGGGCCCGTCAAGTGGCCTAGCGGGAAGAGTGGGCGGCAGCCGCACAGAGGGTCCCGGGTTCGAACCCCCGGTTGGTCTTCTCGTCGTTATTATATAATGCAAGTATGAATTTATACTACCAGAGTTACGTTCTCAAGTGCATGGTGGATCTAGTGCTTGTTTGAAATACTTTCTTTTGGAAGAATACAAAATACGTGACACTGACGATTATTTAATAACCAGAACTGGCCCTAACTTCCACCGTTCCCTCGTTGGTGTAGAGGGCAGCACGGCGGCCCGTGGAACTCCGTGGCCCAGGTTCGAATCTTACGTTGTTGTTTTTTACGTTTTTTTTAGCATTATGTAACTAAAGACGTGAAGACGTCACCGCACTTAATTATGTCACACGAAATTGCATTCGTGCTACGCGATCACGTAATTTCCCACGCTTACACGTCCACGCGTGCAGTGGCAAGTCACTTTCCCAGTGCGAGATACCCCGAGGTCTCCGTCATAAGTGGGATAATGAAAGACGCAAGCCACAGGACTGTGTCCATGCAGCCCAAACTATGGACCGCAGAGTAAACCCGCTGTGGGTCTGCGCTCCTTCAACGGAGGGGGAACAGCGACACGGACACGAGCTCTCTCTCTCTCTTTCTGCTGAAGCCCTCTCATCGTGGCCAGGAGACATCGACATTGGCATTGAACTCTTGAATACCGTCGCCACGTCACACGCGCAATGCCATAACGAGATCACATCATCAGGCCACGTGTAGCCCTGGCATGTCACCGATGCTCGATGACCAAGTGGAATCCATGCGAGGTTGGCAATCAGCGAGTCCCAAGTTCGAATTCAACTTTTATTTTTTTTATTTTTACCTACCGAGTTTTTTTTTAACAAGTTCACGCTGAACACATTTTTTGTAATAAATATTTTAATTACTTCATTAAAAAAAAACATCTGCAATGACGATGTTGACAAAAGACGATGATTTATTAACCAAAACATGCAAAGCATCCACCAAAGCCCTTGTGGTGTAATGGAGAAGCTGGCTACCCTTTATATTGGGCAAGATGGGTTCAAATCCGAGATTGTCCGTTTTGATATTTAAACTTTACGTGATGATGACGTCATCGCGTGTGTTTATAACAGCCACGTGCGCTCAGTGCAATCACTACACGCGCAAAAGAGCACCCATCTGCGTGAGGACTCGGTGGCTCAAGGTGATGCGAGGCAACCCTGGCATCCGCAAGTGGACGGGTTCGAGCCCCAGCTCAGTGGCGACTATTCAGGAACATAAAAGGCTTGCACGAGGCAAGGTGAGTGATATGTAAGTGCCTCTCTATGTGTACATACTAACATGTGTGTGTATGTCTCTGTGTACAGGAGATTGGAGTCGGAGGGAGTGAAGACATGGACGACCTTGGACAGATACCTAGAACGGCGGGGATGGAGGAAAAAGATGATTCTTTCATATTTTTGACAAATCCATTAATACATTTTCACCACTAGGGCGCGCTCTTCTACCGCTAGGGGGCGCTGTTCACTAGGGTGCACTGTTCTATGCAGTTTCCCATTTAAAGTGTCAATTTTATTGCAAATAAACCAATTTACGCCGGTTGTTGGGGGTATTGCAGCTGTACGCTGTGGTTTGATGCAAAATCTCGGTGGAAACTCCACACGCAACGAAAAAAAACAGTAAAAGTGACATTTACAAAGACCATGCAGACATGGTTTCAGTGCAATTTGGCACTAAAACTGCAATTTATACAACAGAATACGACAACAAACACAATTTGCCTGAGAAAAATTCCGTGAAATGTTATAAAACCGGCTACATCTGAGTCTTTATATCTTAAAAAAAAAGTAAAACGGTTAAGTATCATCAAAAAATCGCAAAGACCCACCCACGGATTATAAATTGCACTCATCCAGCAGTGGATTTACGATATTACTGCACAGTGACCAGTAAGGGATTATGAATGTTACTGACTCCACGCAGCTCTTTAAACATCACGAGGGTTACCGGTAATAACCTCTTTCACGTCAACATTGGCCGTAAGCAAACAACCATGGCGTCTAAAAGGCAAGAATCAACTTTAAGTCCTCAACAACAATTACGAACATCACAGCGGTGAACACGAGGAGACCACCCTCCTCTCCCCGTCTCTCCCCTCTCGTCTCGCTCTCCTCCCCGTGCTCTCCCCCCTCTCACCTTGCTCCACTCCGCTCGCCCGTGGCTCCTCCACTTCAGCGGCCCGAGGCATCCTGGTCCAGCCCAAGCTCCACCCCACCGGTGTCTCCACTCCCTCTCTGTGGAGCCGCCTCTCCCCGCGACTCTCTCCACAGAGCGGCGCCCCTCTCCCAGTGCGCGCGGCATTTCCCCTCCTGCCCCCCTCGCGTGCCACGAGCAGCAACAAAGCCCCGCTCCGATGTCTCCCCTCGCTGCCAGGACAATCGCGCCGCCCCGCGTCTGTTCGCCGCCTCGAGACGCAGTCGCCGCACGCCCGCGGGACGCTGCCCGAACTCCACACGGGCGCTGCGCCGAGGGATTCCTCGCTGCGAGTGTCGCCCTCCAGTGGCGTGGGGGACGCGGAGCCCCTGAGTTGAGGGCGAGCGGTTGGCTCCCCGACCCTGGTGCACACAGCGCAGCACTCAGCCCGTGCCGGATTCAGCTCGCGCGGCGCCTGTCGCATGTGTTATAAAGGGTGCCCTAAAATATATATAAAAACATAAATATGAAAACACCATTTTTTTTACTTGCATAGTAAAGTAAGTGTATTTTTTCATTTGCTATACATCCAGATAATACGACAAATCGCTAACATTAAACACCCAGTCGTTTATAAAAGTTTAAGGCAGTATAGTACTATAGCAATGGAGCGAGTGCAGAATCACTGAACCGGAATTGATAGCTTGAAAGCATTTAGCGCGGGGCCCTTGATAGTGCGGGGAACGTAGCTACTACTACTACATGTGTAGCTACTACTACTACATGTGTAGCTACTACTACTACATGTGTAGCTACTACTACTACGTGTGTAGCTACTACTACTACGTGTGTAGCTACTACTACTACGTGTGTAGCTACTACTACTACGTGTGTAGCTACTACTACTACGTGTGTAGCTACTACTACTACATGTGTAGCTACTACTACTACATGTGTAGCTACTACTACTACATGTGTAGCTACTACTACATGTGTAGCTACTACTACTACATGTGTAGCTACTACTACTACATGTGTAGCTACTACTACTACATGTGTAGCTATTACTACTACATGTGTAGCTACTACTACTACATGTGTAGCTATTACTACTACATGTGTAGCTACTACTACGTGTAGCTACTTGTGTAGCTACTACTACATGTGTAACTACTACTACAAGTGTAGCTACTACTACTACATGTGTAGCTACTACTACATGTGTAACTACTACTACATGTGTAGCTACTACTACTACATGTGTAGCTACTACTACTACATGTGTAGCTACTACTACTACATGTGTAGCTACTTTTGCTACGAGGATAATCCGGCACTGACCGCCTAGGTGAAAGCAACTCCGATGAGCACTTGTTGGCTACGTGCGGCCAGAAGGAAGTTCATCATCCACACAGCGCCCGTCTGACTGTGAGAATAAACCCTGGCCGTGGTCACCCGGGGGCTTGCCCCTCTCTCGCCTGGCTGTTAATAACGAGGTCCACGCGTGACAGGAGCCGCTCCTCGTTCCGCGCGGGGAATTCATGACCAACACGCGGGGCTGCGTGGCTGCCAATGGGACGTTAAAGACCCCGTGGGAATGTCGGCACTGACACGACCAGGCGGAATGCGATGACACACAGCGACTGTGGCGTGCGGGCACGAGGTTACATTCATTTATATATGTATGTGTAGCGACAGTAAGCACTGCCAAATCATCCGATATCATCACATCTCAAAAGCTACTCAGTGTTGAGTCCGGGGTAGTGTTTTCATGGGCGACCACACACGCATAACAAGCGCTATCGGCTGCCTGGCTGTGATTGGCCGCGGGGGGCATTGTAGAAAAATATATTGTGTATCCTGTACGTCTATGCTCTTGCCCGCCTCCATCAACCCGCAGTAATCAGCGTGGTGAAGTACGGTCAAACGGCGTGACCCACGTGGAGTGGGCAGGCCGTCGTCCGTCACGACTCGTGAGAGGATCAACCTCGCCCGAGTCGACACGAGCAGCCCCAACCCAGCGTCACCCCCCCCCCCCCAGACTCTCACTTTCACTCCGCACGCCGCCAGCAAAGCGTCACTCAGCGCGGATCCAACACAGACATCGCCCACCGGGAAGGCGGCAACTCACGATTCAGACGGCGTGCAGGTGTAGGGTCTCAATGTGCAGGGTCTCCAGGCTCCAGGTGCAGGGTCTCAATGTGCAGGGTCTCAATGTGCAAGGTCTCCAGGCTCCAGGTGCAGGGTCTCAAAGTGCAGGGTCTCCAGGCTCCATGTGCAGAATCTCCATGTGCAGAATCTTCATGTGCAGAATCTCCATGTGCAGAATCTCCAGGCTCCAAGTGCAGAGTCCCCAGGTGTCTCCGGGTCCTCTGGTTTTATCGTCTCCATATTTAGAGTCAACAACACTCGTTCAGAGTATTTGGCCGCCATACATTTCCATCCGATGGTGATGATAAGCTCACTTCGTTAAGCTATCATTTGTGATAGCGAGGTCGCTTGTGAAAAATTGCTATATATCGCTCAGTGGGCCTTACCTGAAAAAATAAAAAAAGATATAGTTTTTATAAATAAATAAATACCTTAATCTGGATGTACGTCTCAAAAACCTCCAGGGTACTCAGAAAGCTGAAATTTGTAGCTTTTAGGACACAAACAACAGGAACAATCTGAATTCCGATATTTTCCAGTTTAAGGCCCCCAAATCTCGATTGTAAGTGCCCCATAAAAATGTTTGTGAGTGTCATTCAGAAACCGTTAAAAATATTAGATTGCGGTTTTTTTCCGTTTGATAGAGCGTTATACCGCAAATTGCATTAAATGGAGAACCATTGTTCAATCTTTTATTGTTTTGGGGATATTTCGGATTCAAGCGGTTTTGAACGAGAATAATCCGCATTTTATGATGTTTAAATCTGAATAATTCGAAAAAGGTAAAAGATAGGAGCATCCCCTCGTAGCGTATTAAGTTAATTAATGTATGTTCTTTCTAATAAAAAAAGAACGGAATCTTTAAATTGAGCGGTTTCCGATGGGTACATCTTTAAATATAAGAAGTTGAATCAAGTGGTCAACAATTTTTTGGGGTAGTTGTTAGTGTCTGATCGCAGATAAAAACAATTGTAAAAATAAAAATCGCATCAGGTTAATTGTTACATTTATTGAAAACCTTTGCCTGGCGAATACAGGCTTTTTGTTTTTACAAACTAGTATTTTTATTAGCTCGTAGCAACAACGTGTGTGGGGGGGGCAGGGGAAGAAGATGAGGTGATGAGGGTGATGATGAGGGTGATGATGAGGGCGGTGCCGTGCGTTGCGACGTGGCCACGAGAGGGCACACAGCGAGACACTTGCTGACAAAGCGGCGGTGAAGACGGTGGTGGTGGTGCAGCAGCAGCAGTCGGGGGGGGATAAGTCGCCTCGGTATTCTTCTTTCGACGTCGGCCTTCTTCTGCGTGGCTCGCTGCCGCTGCGAGCAGAAGCCACGAGAGCCGAGGGCGGTGGCGGGGCTCGAGATGGCGCGGCAGGTGCGGGAGAAGTCGGCGAACGGTTGTTGAAGAGTTGCGGGCGGGTGCCGGGCAGCCATGGCGGCTCCGTCCTCATCGTTGAGACGCGCGGCCCGAGGCTGCAGCGGCGGTGACGAGAGGGGAGGACGAGGTGAGGGAAGGGGGCGACGAGGCGGCGGTGGCCGCGGTGGACGAAGAGGAGTCGAGGGTCGGCGTGGAGAAGTCGGCGAAGGCCTCGGTGGCCGGGCCAGCAAGGCCCAACTCAGCTTCGTGAAGGCCCCGAGCCGCCTCGCTGCCGCCCCCAACGGCCCCCGTCGCCTCGGCCGAACCGCGCCCCCTCCTCGGCCTGTCGTGGCCCCCCTCCACGGCCGCATCGGGAGCCCCCCTTCGTGGGTACGGGGTAACCGTTGGGTGTCTCGAGTGTGCCCGGGAGAATGTGATGGACATGCGGACAAGAGCTGTATAGCTCATCGGATTCCGCCGGTATAAATGCACGTTCTGATTGTGAAGGGTCAGTCGCGAACTGCACTTAGCCCCTGTTGGAGTCTACCCGGGGGATCTTTGTCTTTAGGAGTCGGCCACCCGAGTTCCGAGTCCCGCTCACTAAATAATTGGCGCATATCTGGAGCGGTCCTGCGCCTCGCTTAGATCGACTCGGCCTTAAATGAGTACCTGGTGCGGTGTTTAAAACATCAGCACTGGAGAGACAAAGGCGGCCGGGCGTGGTGCTGACCACCCCCTCGCACGGGCACGTAGTTGTCAACCCATACGGTTTAACCGTATTGCAGTACAGGGGACATTGTGTGTGTTCTGCCTTGTTGATGGGACTTTGTAGGATGAACGTTGAGATGTATAAGGGGCACGGGGTGACCAATAAGGTCTGAGTTGGTCTGTAATAAGGTAGGGCACTGATAAGGGCATTTGTGGGCAAGGCCGCACCAAAGTGGAGTCTTTGTATAGCAGTGTAAACTACCCACGTCATACTGATAAAACATTTGTAAAATACCTTTTTTACATTTTCAACCCCCTGTCCCTAAAGGTGACCTCGCAGTTTCCAGGCGGACTGGGGGGGGACCGTCCTTTGGGAGGCACAGGCCAGTGTGGAAGCCGCATCCAACATAGAGCAGTGGCCTCCGTGAGGGCCATCCCCTCCGGCCGGTTCCTGCCACTGCAGTTCCTCGTTGGCAACAACAGCGGCATCAACAGCGGCAACAACAACGACATCCATCGTTTGCCTGGAGCCCGCAACTCTAAGACCGCCTCTGTTATCCGTGCAGCAGTCGGCTGTGAAGCTCCTGAGACATCTACGTCCGAGACGTCTCCGCCCGTGACGTGTGGGGAATCTCCATGCGTGAGATCTCCACGTGTTGCCCCAGATTTTCAACCAAGGTCTTCGAGTTTCGAGAGGAATGCTGGGAGCGGACGGTGTAGGAGTTCGGAAAGTGGGCAAAGAAAAACATGGGAAAACGCTCACTGCAACAACGGTTTAACAAAGGTTCAGTTGACGAGCTTGACAGCAATTCACGGGACATTTTCAGAAAACGATCACGTGATAAACTCCAAAAAGAGTCACTGTAAAGATGTTTTAAATGTCCACTCCAGAGATTCTGCAAATGGCCATGTACTATTATCTGACCAAAGTCACTTGAGAAATTCACAAAACAGTCCCTGCACCAACTTGGAAAACGGTCGCCCCAGAGGTTTGGAAACCGGGGCCTCACAAAGCGGCCACAGAAATCACGGCGAGCGAGCGTCGGGAGCGTGCGACACGCGGGCGGACGACAGCGGCCTGAGGGTGCTGCTGGACCTGTCGGCGCCCTCCGTGTTGACCCCGGACTACAGCCACCACCTTCCCGCGGACAACCCGGCGGCCATCGACGTCGGTCGCTCTCCGAGCGGCGCAACGCAACGTTGGGGGGGACGCGGCGAGGGGAAGACGGCGAGGGGGACGACGCTACCGCTGCGGCGGCTGCTGCTGCTGCTGGATGACCCGGAGGACGACTCGAGCCCCCCCGCGGGGGGCCCCGTGCTGGCCGAGGACACTCCCGAGGAGATGCGGGTTAGGTCGGGGGTCGCGTTGCGCCGTCGGAGGAGGGGATGGGCAGCCGGGGGGTGTGTACCGCGGGCGCCACCCATTCGCGACCTTGGCACCTCACTTCAGGTGGAGGAGGCAGGGGCTGGACAATACGTCCCAGGTTTTCCAATCTCAAGGTATTTACACGGGGAGCAGTCCATGATCGGAAAGTGAAGACACCGTGTGGCGACGTTGATTGAATTACAAGATTGATGCTGCTGCTGTTGCACCAGTGTTGGGCGCAGCAAGGGCAGTTCTCCTGGGAATCCACGTGGACTGTGAGCGCACCGTCTGGAGAAAGCCGCGAGGGTGAAGCTGCTGCGATCGCATTTCAGGTTCTCAATGAATCCATCTGCCTTGTCACCTGAGACTGGGAAACCGCCCGGGGTGGAGTTTGTAGCTTCCTCAACCTTATTTGACATAGCTCACTTCAACATCGCTGGTGGAGCTCCTATGTTACCGTGCTTCGTAAATTAATCTTGTGCTGTGTTAGCACCCAGTGGTGTGGTATTAGTCGCGGCTTAGGCTCTGCTCGTGGGAAATCCCGAGCGTGGCTGGGACCACGCTCGGAGCCGACTCAAGTTAAGCACGTGGCTTTGAGCCATGCCTCACTTGAGCCAGAGCTGAGCTCTGACTCAGAGGCAGGGCTGCCTTGTGGACTGATATAAAACCAGACCATTGAAAGGCTCTACGATATTAGTTGCACTTATTGGACAGGTAATGCATCGTTGAAAATTCATTACATGGGCTGTACAAGTAGGTGATGGCAGGTGCATTTTAAAATTCAAATGCTATTTTATATTTATATCAATGTAAAATCATCCCTATCAGTTTTTCCATTTGGCCTACGGTTATACTGGATCCCATCATAGTAATGTGGAATTTCCAACGACGATTAAGGCTGGAGATGGGCGGGGAGGGGTGGTGCCACCCCATGGTCAGTGGAGCTGGAAACCGGTTTGAGCACTTTAGGCAATGACCGAACGGACCAGTTGGTGGCTGTGGTTGAGAAATATTTTACATTGCTGGTGAGAATGAAATGGTACCACCCGCAGTTTATATTGAACTCTCCGGCTTCCACCAACTAAAGTCTTGCTTGGGAGGTTTCCCGATTTTAGGATTAATCTGCACTTCCTGAAAACGGCCTGAGATGCAACATTTTCAGATGATCCTAAATAACATCACGTGAAGTGACATCAACACTGCTCTTCCTGCAGAAAGCGGGTGTCAGGTGGCATCACGTGATGTCAAGGGAGGAAACGCGTTATCACATCATGGAAACGCGTTATCACATCATGGAAACGGTACGAAAATACAAACTCACTGCCACTACAGTCGGCACGTGATTGGTCCGGGGTAATGTGCAAGGGATGGCTTTGCTGTGTAATCCACGCATTATTGTTTAACCGTGAATTATTGATGCTTGTGCAGGTATTTTATGCACATGGCCATCTGGCGGCCCTCACCAGCGCACACCAAGTAGCTTGGGGCATTACGGTTACATAACCCGCATGGCATGGGGAGGTCACTCATCCAGCAGTGGCTGGACAAAGGAGCCCTGCATCTGCACAGAAACACCAGCAGGAAGTGGTGCTCAGCTCCATGAGATGAGAAATTGGTGGAAATTACACATTACTATGACAGGGGCCCATCCTATTAGTGTATCAACCACTTAGATGGTGCTCGCGATACACATGCCAGTGACCATGGAGAGATGATGGGTGGGTTGACTCTGGCTTGGAATAGAACCTTCAATCAATTACATGAGGTCCTCTGCCTCCCAATCCAAGTGTTTTCTAAACCTGAATTATTGGCAACTCCACACAGATTCAAAGAGTCAGGAATGACGCTGCACGTGTATCTTTTTTTACACTTGTATTTTTTACCAAATGTTTATAAAATTATTTTTTTTACGTGATAATTCTGTGATGTGGATGAGATTGTTTCACTATTAAATTAAGTCGATGGATTTTGTAAGTGGAATTTTTTTTGTATGTCCATTGTTGCTGTGGTACTCATGACCAAATCGCCCAGAATGCACCCGGCCCTGTCAAGCGAAGCAGGGGTGAGCCTGGGTTGCACTTGAATGAGTGAACACCACACATCCCCCCAAAAAAACCGTGAGGGTCATTGTAAAGAAATAAATAAAATAGATCGGACATTGTCTCCTTCATATATACGTCTTTCCAATTTAAAAACAAAAAAACAGTGATTTGTACACAACCCATCAGCCCTCTGGTCGTGCATTATCTCAGCAGTACTAAGGCCAGTACAAGCAACACTCTGATCCAGGTTCAACACTCAAGTACATCATGTCACCAGCAATCAAACTTGCGTGAAATAATGCTTAACTGCCAGATGTCATTGGCAAGGATAAGGGTTCAACATGTATGAAATCCACCCTAATAATTTGCGTCGTTTGTGCATAATATAAATCGCCATGCGCAAACGTGCCATGGCCTGTGAAGTACAATCCATCGTACTGCGGTTCTATTCTGCCAGGTCCATCCACCGCCTTTACTAACAAATCTGCGCTGACCAACACGGAGAAGTTGGTCAACTGACCCACACGGTGTGGGAAGGCTGTCATCCAGCGGTGGATGCGAGACGTGCGCGTCGCTCCTGCGCTCGGACTGTGCGTGCGGCGCTCGATGGATTTCATCTCACTCCAGGTCGCTCCGCGTGATGTAGAACTCACTTTATTAAATCTAGTTAAAATTCTGCAGTGTAAATTACGCACGTCATACTATTCATAAAATAATTGCAAAACTGTATAATAATCCTCGTGAACTGATAAAACAATCGTCAGATAATAAGTGGACTCCAAGGTGATTTTAAAAAACAAACCGTGAGGTTTATCTGTCCGCCAGGGTGCGCTAATTGTGCACAATCGGCTTCGTGCAGTTCTTATCTCACCCAGCGGTGAAGCTCAACTTCCCAGGCGACAAACATCAGCAGCAGCAGCCACAGTTATCTTGCCGGAAACCGCCGGAAAGTCACCTTGGCGCCAGCTTCTCGGTAGCCGTGTCACCAGACTGCCCAGTTCCCGTTCCCACAACCACCCCCCCCCCCCACACTTAGTCCATCCCTGCCCAGTATTTTTATGTCGCTGCCCGAGGAGGTGCAAGGGTCGGGATGCACCGTGCCGAGTTCGCCGGTTCGTTTTTATCTCTCGGCGCGGCGATTCAAACAACGGTGCGAGTTTCTTAAATACCCCCCCCCCACTGCCTGCGTCCAACCAGTAGCAAAGATGGGTTCACAGTCAAGTGTATCGGTAGGCCGCATTGCGGTGGGGTAAAGTGTGGGTACTGGAACCTCTTCCAGCGGGGAAGACTAGGCCAAAACACCCTCTGGAACGACTCAAGCTTCCTCCGGTTGCCTATCGGCTTGCAGTGACGTCGTAAAGCAAATTGCAGGGCCGCACCTTTCTCTGCTGCCGTTGGTAGTATTTTTGTATTTCGCTTTTGCAGAGCGTCGGTCCGTTTCCTTGTGCGTCTGGCATTCCACTCCCGCCTCAAAACAAGCTGGCAGTGGGGCCCTCTCACCGCGATGCAAATCTGATGGAGGCGGCGGAGCGCCGAGCGTGCCGACCGGTTAGGCCGGGAGGGAAGCTGCACGGTCCGTCGCCCCGCGCCGAGACTCGGGTCTCTACATCAAGGCCCGGCGCAACGCCTCGTCCATCCGTCCGTCCGTCGGTGCCCACTCTAAACTCGCCAACGTCGCCGTGCGCGCGTGCGTGTGTGCATGTGTGCGTGTGAGGACATCCACTGCGGAGATGGAGCAGTTAAATCGGTTCGTGTGACCGGTGCTCAGGCGGAGGATTGTTGCATCGCGAGGTCGCGAGGTCGCAAGGTGGCGGTGGTGTCAGCGGTGCTTGCGGAGGTGGCCCTCATCCAGCAGCGGAATGACTGGTTGATGACCATCACGACGCTTGTGTGCACGTCACAGGTCTTGTCTCGATCGTGGGGCGATTCAACCACGACCGCAAACAAATCCCCGGAGTCCTCGTGGCGGGGGAGGGGGCGAGTTGCCGGGGCTCATACGTCCCTCCTGGCAGTCCCCCTCCTTGATCCTCGCCGCGAATTCCTCCTGCAGAGGAGACACGGGGGTGGGAAGAGGCGCGTGCGGCAGGTTTACGTTACAACAACCGCTGGCTTTGGCGTGCGGTGTAATTGATCACGGTTTCAGGTCGGGTTTTGTTACCGCGTGTCGCTGGGCATGAGGTCCGACGTTTCTCTCCTCGTGCCGGGAGCTTCTGGGGTGCGGGGAGCGCTGAATTTAAAATCGGGGGGAGGGAGAAAGCAAGACGCTCGGTTCAGTTGTTCCCCGGGCGCGCGGGGCGAAACGTCGTGGTCACATTCGCTCAAATTCATTTCGATGCCGATCTAAAAGGAGAAGGGACACGATGGCAGCCCTTCAGGAACCGCCGATGGGTTTTTTTTGGTGCACGTGCACAAATTGCTGGAATCTTTTTTTACACGTGTCTGCGTTGTCGTTGTTGTTTGAAGCGTGTGCTTTTCGCAGCCTGCGCTGTTATTCTATTACAATGGGGGTTCGCTCATCATTTCCAGATTTGACCAAGATTTAAATTCGTCGATGCGTCTGCCAACAGCCCCTCCTCTTCACAGCGGCCGGTGTTACGGCAAACCTGGCGAGTTTTTCGAATTGTTAAATGTGCTCATGCAGCACTGCCAACGTAGCCGCGGCAGCAGCGGCAGCACAACCAGATGACGTTTTACTAAATTAACGGTCGGAGCACAAGATTGGTGTTGATGAATAGTCAAGAGTGAACGACAGTCCGTGTCCGCTGTCGTTCACGATAGACGAACGCGGTTCAAATGTAGCCATTTAATGAATGACACTTAGGCCTCATATTCTTTGGGTCTTTCGGGAAAATAGTCACCTGATGACGGTCGCTTGTGTTGCGATCGAAACGTCGTAGTTTTACCGTTTGTTTTCATTATTTTTTTAACCCATCTACGTGACTTTACCGAAAGACCCAAATAATACGAATATTCTTGCAGTCGCGAAAGCTTCAAGTCAAGATTGATGCCTCCTCGTCGCACCCGAGGGCTGTGCGTGTGTGTGTCTGTGTGGTAAAGAAGTCACTGGGAGCGAGGGTGCGGTGGTTCAAGAAGTATGCTGCAAACTCCGCGGCCCGAGTTCAATTCCCGGCCACGGCCAACACCAGTGGCGATTATTTGAACGTGTCCCGAGGGCTACGCTCGGTCGACCCAGGACAGCATTATTTTGATGTATTCTCTGTAACGTGGTTGTTATTGCATCGATTTCTGTTTGTTTCATTGCTGCACTTTGTTTTATTGTTCTTGTTTTTGTGGCAACTCAAGTCACTCACTTGAGTCTATGCTGGCCTCGTGGGTTCTCAAAATGGTGACACAAAATGCACTTCAAAATGAAACGAGTGTCTGGCGAGATGTGAAAACATCGGTGCTGGGGGAGACAAAGGCGGCCGTGCGTTATTCTGGCCACACCATCGCGTCGTGCAGTGTACCGCTCCGGCCTTAAAGGAGGTGCTGGCTAACGGCACTTGCCCCCCAGGGGCTATGTTAGCTATTGGAAGGGGGGGGGGCATCTTTATCTGTGTCTGTGTGTGTGGCGATGCTGCCGCACAGAGGGAGCAGTGGTCAGTCAGGGTGAGTGGAAAATCGGCGTCACGAGGCTCCACTGCAACCAGAGCCAGGAGTAAAAGTTTAACGAGAGGAGACGAGGTCGAGGAGAGAGATTTTTTTTTTTAGTCGTCCTTCCTCCCTCCCTGCACCTCCGATTGACACGGTTGGTTATGTACGGTGTGAAAGAAGTTCAACAAAGTATAGCAAAATCAAGGCCTCGATTAAAGGGGAGCATGCAAAAAATCCCAAGCTTGGGCATTGCGAGTTGGGCTGCATTTTGAGCATTTCATCTCTCAGGCTTTTGCTGGCAGGGCTGGCCTCAATATCAATCGTGGATAAACCTCAGCCGGGAGCCACGGAGAGCTCCGAGAGACAACGGGCGAGCGACCAGGAGGAGGTGGACGAGGAGTCGCGCGGGGCGGAGCTGCTCACCCCGTGTACGGTGGCGGTGGGCCATCGTACTGCCCCGACACCTCCATGGCCTGGTCGTAGGAGGGCAGCCCCAGCAGCTGGTCGGGCGCCGCCATCATCATGGCCGGATCCTCGCGGTCGGGGGGCGGCGGCGCCCTCGGCTCTCCGCTCATCTCCAGATCGTCGTTGCTCCTGGCGGGACACGGGCATGCTGACGAGCGGGAATATCGGCAGGGCGCTGACGCGGGGCCGTAAACACCTCCATCGTGTTACCGGTCGCTGGACCTATGGACTGGCCACTGCTCGGGTTTGCACTTCTGTTTCTGCTACTTCCCTCGCGCTGCTCCACTCTGGAACTGCCTCACATCGCCTCTTTCCCACCACTCACACCCTGCCCCAAACCCACCCCACCAAGTCCGTACAACCTTGCTTATTTCAAAAACACGTTCAACTTTTTTTTATCAATTGTAACAGCTCAGCTCAAGATTGCGTCCGTTTCCTTTAACAAGGCGATTAGTCAAAAGCCGGAGCGGGACGGAGCCTCCGCTGCGTGAGCGGCGTCGCGTCGCACCAGCCACTCCCCACGAGAGCGAGCGAGCCAGGATGGCCCTGGCCGGGCCCCGGTACCTAGTGTCGGCGCGCGGTTTCCTCCGGTACTTGCAGCAGTAGGCGAAGACGAGGCCGATGAAGATGAGCAGCACGACGGCCGCGATCACGCCGGCCAGCAGGCCCGGGATGTTGAGGCCGGAGTTCCCTGCGCGGAGCGGTCGGACAAGACGACGAGAAACACCGCGGCCTAGATTATAACCACAATTAGAAAACACCGCGGCCTAGATTATAACCACAATTAGAAAACACCGCGGCCTAGATTATAACCACAATTAGAAAACACCGCGGCCTAGATTATAACAACAATTAGAAAACACCGCGGCCTAGATTATAACAACAATTAGAAAACACCGCGGCATAGATTATAACCACAATTAGAAAACGACGACGACGGCGGCGGTGTCAACTTGTAACGCCGTGCCGCCACCGCCGAGTCCACGCTCCTCGCTCTCGTAGAGAGAGGAGCACTGCAGAGCCCACGCTCCTCGCTCTCGTAGAGAGAGAAGCACTGCAGAGTCCACGCTCCTCGCTCTCGTAGAGAGAGGAGCACTGCAGAGTCCACGCTCCTCGCTCTCGTAGAGAGAGGAGCACTGCACAGTCCACGCTCCTCGCTCTCGTAGAGAGAGGAGCACTGCAGAGTCCACGCTCCTCGCTCTCGTAGAGAGAGGAGCACAGCAGAGTCCACGCTCCTCGCTCTCGTAGAGAGAGGAGCACTGCAGAGTCCACGCTCCTCGCTCTCGTAGAGAGAGGAGCACTGCAGAGTCCACGCTCCTCGCTCTCGTAGAGAGAGGAGCACTGCAGAGTCCACGCTCCTCGCTCTCGTAGAGAGAGGAGCACTGCACAGTCCATGCTCCTCGCTCTCGTAGAGAGAGGAGCACAGCAGAGTCCACGCTCCTCGCTCTCGTAGAGAGAGGAGCACTGCAGAGTCCACGCTCCTCGCTCTCGTAGAGAGAGGAGCACTGCACAGTCCATGCTCCTCGCTCTCGTAGAGAGAGGAGCACAGCAGAGTCCACGCTCCTCGCTCTCGTAGAGAGAGGAGCACTGCAGAGTCCACGCTCCTCGCTCTCGTAGAGAGAGGAGCACTGCAGAGTCCACGCTCCTCGCTCTCGTAGAGAGAGGAGCACTGCAGAGTCCACGCTCCTCGCTCTCGTAGAGAGAGGACGGCTCAGAGTCCACGCTCCTCGCTCTCGTAGAGAGAGGAGCACTGCAGAGTCCACGCTCCTCGCTCTCGTAGAGAGAGGACGGCTCAGAGTCCACGCTCCTCGCTCTCGTAGAGAGAGGACGGCTCAGAGGTGCCAGGGGGAACCACTGACGAGCGGGAAAAGGTGGTGATCCGGCAGCAAGGTGGTGATCCGGCACCAACAGTTTCCCAAGCTCTGCAGTCCCCTATATATTAAGATGTTAACGGCCAATTAATTAGTCACGCTGTACGCAAGTCCACGGATCTCTATCCGAGTCCAGGGTCTCTTTGCGAGTCTATGAATTGCGACAATTCCTCGAATCGCGAGGGGACTGCGTCGTTATCCCCACCCTCCCCTTAGGACCTGGACAACGCCAATCGCGGGACCTTTCCTGCAGAGGGCACTGCAATCCATCACAGCTGCAGGGTAAAGTCTCAGCCCCGTAATTCCTCACTCGTGCCACTGCCGGGAGAGTCTCCGAGGGGGGCATTTGTGATCCGCTCTCCCACGCCACCCAGACGCCTTAGAAAAGGTGGGGAGGGGGGGTACTCACACTTTACCCCACCACACGCGACATGCCAATCGACGAACTATTATCCGTTTACACCGCTGGGTGGACAGAGGCTCGGAGGGCGGTGGGCATTTCAGGAATCTGTTTTTCAGCTGCCGCGCCATGAGATCAAATCAGACCGGCGACGTCTGGATTGCAAGCCCCAGTGCCCGAGCCGTTACCCCACGGCAGCGTCCACGATCGCCAGGAGGCGAATAGTTTCATCTGGGCAGCACGGTGGTGGTGGTGCTGGTGGTGCTGGTGGTGCTCGTGCCTTGCAGTGGCAAGGCCACAAGTTTGACTCCCGCCTGGGGTGGGAGTGCGGAGTTTCTGCGTCCTCTCTCGCTCTCCGGTTCAGATAACAGTTACTGGTATTGGCCATGAGTGGGAATCTAACTCGGGTCACCGGGTTCATAGCGCAGCGCCTTGACCGCTATGCCACCACTCAATTGGCATCACACGCAGCAACATCACATCCTCTGTACTGCGAAAGCTTGGCAGGACCCTCCTGAATAAAAGTCTTGAGACTCGGCGAGGCCTTCCTGAGTAAACGAACACGTGAATAATAACAATATAATTTAATTCCATCAGCTTACCTGCAGATGCCGGATTCATATACGTTTTCCAGAAGGCGTTCTACAAAAAGACAACACACACCACGGAGAACTACGATTATCCCATCTTTACGGCAACGATAACCGCGCGTCGCTGAACGACGCCTCTGAATACGTGGCCGCTATGGAGCACACCGCAGCGGCAGTGGCACGCTGCGCACGACGCCGGTCTCGCGAACCCGGCGGGGGGACGGGTGGGGACTCACCGTCTTGACCACACCAAGACAACGCACAGTCCTTGTGCGATGTCTTGTTGGGGGAGGGGGGGCAGGGGGGGCAGTGTGGGGGACCCACCGTCTTGGCGTCGTCCTCGAATATCTCTCGCGCCTCCTCGTAGCTGCAGAGCTCCTCGTTGCACTCACGCTCCAAGTTGTCCGGCTGGAACAGCTCAAAGTCCCAGTTGTTGGCGCGCAGCCGACGTGACAGGTACGAGTTCGCTTCCGGGGCGCCCAGGAACGCTGTTGCAATGTGTACGGGTGGTGGGGGGGGGGAGAATATATTGCATCATTAAGTGGGCAATATGGATCGTTACTTTGCTTTCGATTATTTATGTAGGCAAGGCACACTGAGTCTCAGAAGGGTCCTCTTAAGTTGACTTGAGCAGGGAGGGGAGGTGGGGGGGGATGAGGCTGATGGACGAGACTGGTGATGGAACGGCAGCCAAAGGAGAGAGAGTCCCGCTAGGGTTGCCCGCCGAGGAGACGGAGCGGTGAGATGATCCCGCGTGGTGTTGGAGTAACATCGATGGTCGGTTGTCGCTTCGCGTGACCGTGATGGATGGCAACGACATTGGAGGAGGGTGGGGTGGGAGAGGTCTTACTCCAGCAGTGGATAGATCACGGCTGGTGATGATGATAATAATCACAAGCCAAATTGTGACATGGCTGGGGCAAACCAGTCATGGGAAGATGGAGTGGATGGAACTGTCGATGTTCAAACGTTATTACAGTCAAAATAAACCTTGAGTGGCAAGTGGACCGGTGGATTGTGGGTAAGAGCTTTGAGCTGCCACCACCACCGCGATCCTGGGTTCAACATTTCAGCGGCCTGGAACTAGACGAGGGTCCCCGCGTGGAGTGAATCAAACAACCCCCTCGACTGACACGATAGCAGATTAAGAGAGGGCTGTACACATTTTTTTTGCTATTTTATCGACACTGCTTGATAAAGGGCTGTGGGTGACCCCCAACTAGTTAATGAACTCACAATCCCTGAGTTGAGTGGTCGACGACAGCGCTGCCCGTTTGAACCCCCTATCTACACTTTTGTTGCGGTTAAACCGGAAGACTGGAATTTGCAGTTTGCACTTATCTTCCGAGGTCTCTAACCCGTGTATTTGTTTTTTCAGAGCTCGGAAAAAAAGACCCAGAGTCCACTTTTGTTGTTTCCCAATTCTGTTGACACATCTTCTCTCCTCCCTTTGAGCACGCAAACGCTCTCTGCTCCAGCAACCCGGGCAGAAACCTCGACCAACCTCCGCACGCAATGGGAGGTCGCTCCTCATTCGTTGCTGGCCCCGGCGGTCTTGAACTCATTCCCGCCAGCCATGTGCGGTGGAACCCGGTTGAATCGCGGCTGGCTGAAACCTGGATTCTAACCCAGAAGTGCAGCATTGATGGCCCAGTGTTCTCGTCACGGCCAATTACGAACCTCTTGAGACAACCAACACCACTTCCCATTGGCTGTTGCGTGTCTAATAATGACTGATTATTTTTCGCTTGCTTAGCATCTCGTTCGAGAATAATTTTGACCTTAAAATGTCAGATTAAATACTACGTGTGCCCTACAGTCGAAGAGTCGGTTGTGTTTTATTAAAAACAAGTTGAGGTCTTCATGAAACGCGTCGCGTCACCTGGGCGACTGAGACACGGTCATGATTTCACCAACAATCGGATAAATAAACAATACATATTTTAAAATAATAAAGATAATTCAACAGCTCCACAGCCCGAATCAGGCCCGTGTGCATGAACTCGCGGCCAGGAGAGAGTCTAGTGAGCAAGAGGGACCTGGGTCACCGTGGTGACGAAAGCACGTGCATGAAATGATGTAAATGCGATGAAAAAACAACCTTGTTACTAGACACACGCAAAATACCGCACGGTACGGAAATAAACGTTAAATAAAACTGATTTCTTGGCTCGGTTGGATCGCTCATGGCTCTTGATGATGGCAATGATGATGGCAACGATCACAAAGGGGCTTGGGGACGGGGGCCTCTGCTCGCTCACCGTGCTGGGCGTTGGGGTTGCCGCCTCCCGGCTGCCCCCCACTGGCGGCGTGCGCCCCTGCCCCTGCCATGGGCAGCAGCGTGGAGAGCAGCGCCCAAGCGAGGGGCTCGGCCGATCCTGACATCGACCGGGGCACCGCGGGGTCCACCTGGGGGCGGCGGGAACAGCCGCGGTCAACTTTACACTCGGCCGCCGGTAGTTGACCGGAGGAAGACACGCGTCGGGTAGAAACCGCAGCCATAGCGAGCAGAATACTGGACGTGGTGTGCCGGGTTGCCGACTCCACCCGACCTGACCCGGCCCGGCCAAAATAAAGCCCCGGAGCACAGAGGTGGTGAGATGAGATCCGTGCCGCGGGAAGGCGTGACAGATGTACGCACAGGATTTACACCATACCTACACTGAACAACGATCCCCCGTACAGCCTTTATTAGACGACTGGGGCAAGTACTGTTCACATGTAGCGCCTACGAAGGCCGGCATGGCACACGAGGGGGAATGGCGACGGCTTTGAGAGGCGTTCATCCACCCGTGGATTTATCGTGGCTGATGATGATGTTATTATCAATGATTATGTTATTATCAATGATGATGTTATTGTCAATGATGATGTTATTGTCAATGAGACAGTCTGACTCCCTGCGAGGAGGAGGAGAGAGAGGAAGGAGGTTCAGCCGGAGCCAGAGAGAACCGGCTCAAGGCAGGATTCCCGTGGCCCTGGTGAACTTCCCCAAAGACTCTTGGAATGTATTCAAGAGGAGCGTAGATGAGGGGAGATGGAACAATGTAATTATTTCACGTGCAAGTGCCGGGCGGATTTGTGACATCACGTGGCCACGGCGACTCGGGGAGAATTTCATCCAGCAGTGGATCGACCATGGCTGATGATGATTGATGAATGAACAAAAGAAAATTCAATTTTATTTTGAAACATTCTATTGCCTTTGGGCCCACTTTGCAGATGCACTAGGACATGAGGATATTTACAAAACACAGATTCGTGGAACAGGCCACACTATTTCAGGCATTTCCTTCCACATTTAGAATCAACATCCGTTTAGAGTATTTGGCTGCTATAAATTTCCACGCGATAAGCCACTTCGTTGAGCAATCATTTGTGATGGTCAGGTGGCTTTCTGAAAAAGACCGCTGTAGCTCAGTGGCCTTTACCTGGTAAAAATAAAAAAAAGTTAGTTTAGTTTCAAAGTTAATTTTTTTTGGGTCTTTCTTTAAAGTCACATAGATAGGTGATTTTACCGAAAGACCCAAATAATATGAATTCCTGCAGTCACGAAAGCTTTAAGTCAAGATTTTTATAATTTAGTGTCGACGCCAACCAGGAAGGGAGTTTCACAGCAACATCTGCGCAAAACTCCCTGTTGCCTTCAGTGCTGGATTACAGACCGCGTCCCCAGACACCATCACCCCAGCACAGTTCAACTTCATCACCACCACGAGGGTCTCTCTGTATCTCTATGGGTCTCGATGTAAGTCTACGGATTTCTATGCAAGGCAATATAAATGTTATAATCATGACCTTTATGCGTTGAGCGCCTTTCATACCACAAGGTGTTAAGGCCACTTAAGAGGAGTGAAGAAAAAACATTCACAAGTACACAAGTTGTAAATAAACGTCAGCACATTTACCAGACAGTAAAAATAATTTTACGATGCCGGAATAAAACCAGAAGGCAGAATTACAGAAATAGGCCTTAGGCCTTTATAAACAAGACCCTTCGCACCTCCGATTTTAGCACGGTTGGCTAAGTACGGTGCAAAAGAAGTTCACCATACACACAATTTCAACATACATACGCGTAGGGGCGAAACCTATGACGCGTTCGGACAGAGAGCCCCACGGCCGCGTTGCCCGAACGCGGGAAGCGACCACCACCACCACGTCTCCTCTCATCCCAGCCTGACCCTCCCAGAGCGCAGAGCGAGGACCACCACGGTGAGCCGAGAGCCGAGCTCACTGTGGACGCAACACGAACTCCCGACATATCATCTGGCCCCTTTCAATTCCGAGATTTAACATCGGTAATCGGATTTAAAATGTAATTCCGTGATCGTTTCGAACCGATTTTTCCCCCATTCGTAAGTGGCCATCTGTACACGTGGCCATCTGTACACACGTTCATGGGATCTCTGTGCAAGTCCACCGGCCTCTTTCTAAGACTACGCAAGTATGTGTGTCTCTGTACGAGTCAAGGGAAGTACACGGGTCTGTGAAAATGTATGGGATTATGGGTCTCTACCTAGCTCTGTAGGCCTCCGTTGTCAGTCGATGGCACTTCGAAGCTCTCGGGTTTGGACCGAGTGCCGTTTGGCATCATGCCCTGACGCGTCACGCAACCAGAAAGCACGTGGCCGCCAATAGCTACGCAGTCGTCTATGGGTCTCCATACAAGTCTACGGCACCTTATGTACGGACACGGATCTCTATTAAGTATCTATGTATGTATGCGAGCCCATGGGTCTCCATTAAGTATCAATGGATTAAGTCCATGGGTCTCCATTAAGTATCTATGAATGTAAGTCCATGGGTCTCCATTAAGTATCTATGAATCCATATGGGGAGTGCGTCCCGATTCGCTGTACTCTAGGGACGCCTCTGTCAGTACCTGATAAAGCTCACAGCGGTTTGAGCGAAACGTGGCGGGCGATACGTTATTGTTGCTGTTCATTGAATTCAGTCATCAAGTCTCAAGTCACCGCTGGTAAGGAGGAGCTGTATCGTCAGAACGTGACCAATACATTGGCTCATGTAAAAAGGGTAATCATAACGCTACCTTTTGTAAAGGTCACAATCGTGTTGGGGTGGTGGTGGCGCGTAAACTATAAGAATTTGCATGAAGCTACAACGTGGCCCTCACCCAATCGTGGCGATGTTAGCCTGTGCGTGTTGGAGGACTTTAGGTGGTTTCCCCTCGGCTTCATCAGCGTTTTGTTTAAACTTCAGATCACACTACTACCACCATCACCACCACAATCAGCAGGTTAACTTCATCACAACAATAATAATAATAGCTGCTTTCTCTATGCACGCCTTGTGGGAGAGGCGGTGGTGCAGAACCGCTGGGAGTGAAGTTCGATTCCCAATCACAGACCAAAAAACAGTGGCCGATATTTCCCCTTCGGCCCCGTACCTTGTGCGGTGTGTAAACATCAGAGAATGGGGAGACAAAGGCGTCCGGGCGTAGTGTCGGCCACCCACCCCCTTCGTATGACCTCCAGGCCGACACATGTGTGCTCGCTGGCGGCTCTTACCCCAGCAGTCTGTTGGGGGCTCCGTGTGTGGGGGCATGTACGCCGATGAGCCTCCATGCACGTCGATGTAGCTATTGAAGATTACGTAACACTGTGTGTAGGGTATCCACGGCCATGTAAGTGTCACGACACAACCGATGACAATCACAAAGTACGGCACTGGGCAGAGGGTGGCCAGCACCCGTGGCGCAGAGCTGAGAGCGCCCCAGAGCTGCCGCGAACCTGGCCGCCCGAGTTGGACTCCCGGCCGGGAAGGGCTCAACATCGACGACGGCGAGCGAGAGGATCCGAAACCTCTCCTCGCTTCACAACCCCGCACCGACCAGAGTGGTGAAGTATGGTCAGGCCAACTCCACCACGGCCGGACCCGACACACAACGCGCGGAGGATGTCATCCAGCAGTGGATCGACGATGATTTGAAACACACGGTGCGGTGATCTACGTCTCTTACCGTCGGGGGAGCCGATCCGACGATTCTTGGTCTCTGCGTGATTCTTGGTCTCCGCGTACCCACTTCCACGCTGCTCAAGATCTCCTCAATCCAGCAGTGGAGAGAGCAAGAGGTCGCTACCCCGGATTAGACCGCTCGCATTCCCGTGTGGAGGAACCAGAACGGAGCGCGGTCATGGAGCCAGCCGGGCGAGATGGAGACCGCGTCTCCAAATCCGAAACGATTCCTTCTGCGATGACGACGGCTTGACGAGGATCGTTGTGGTTGGTGGTAGTGGTGGTGATGAGGTGGTGATGAGGAGGAGGAGGAGGAGGTGGTGATGAGGTGGTGGTGGGTCTTATCCCGCTGCCTGTTCGCTACGTCCTGCATCCAGCCGCCGCTGGTTGAATTGCGGGGGGGTGAGAGCTGGGGGGGGACGTGCGGTGATGCTGATGATGGTGATGATGCTGCTGCCGGTGGGAGGATGCGAGGAGGCGGTAGCAGGAGGAGGAGGAGCGAGCTTCTTGCCGAGCAAGTTAGTCGAGACGCGCTGCAGGCCTCCCTCCCCCTTTATCTCCCTCCCTCTCTCACTCCCTCACCCTCTCTCTCTCACCCTCTCTCACTCACCCTCTCTCTCACCCTCTCTCTCACCCTCTCTCTCTCTCACCCTCTCTCTCTCTCACCCTCTCTCACTCACCCTCTCTCTCTCTCACCCTCTCTCTCTCTCACCCTCTCTCTCTCTCTCACCCTCTCTCTCTCTCTCACCCTCTCTCTCTCACCCTCTCGCCATCCCCTCCCTACCCCCTAGCTAGCTCCCACCGCTTGTGGCACATCACATTCTCCGGCACGACCCAACACCCACCAATCTGCGCCCACCCCCCCAAACTCCCCTCCGCCCCCCTCTCCCCACCATGGACAACAAACGCCGAGTCTCTTGGCTGCCAGCCAATCTCCCTCTCGCTCTCTCTCTCTGAGTCGCGCTCAGCGCTCAGGAATCCGGAGCGAAGCGTTTGCCCCGCGGCGCAAAAAGCGAGTGACGTGAAGCAGCCGTGACGAGCGGGCCGACTCCTCCACGACGCCACCGCGGGGTGAATGCCCGAACACGAACGCCGCGGTGGAGCTATCGGGTGTGCAGGCGGTGCAACTGAGCAGGGGCGCACGGGCCCAGTAGCCCCCCTCCCACCACGGCGCCTGACTACGACGGCGTAAGGCACTACCACGGGAGTACAAGCTACGCCTATCCATAACAACCCTGTATTATCATACCCTACATTTCGACAATCCTTTGGACAGGTGCGTGTGCGTGTACAAATTACTCGTGTGCGGGTCAAAGTAAGGCTGCGGGATTGATGTGGTTTTGAGTGCCAAAAATAATTCCCGGAACAGCGTTGGAGCTAAACTTAAATAAGCGCTGTCTCGATCTTGACGTGACCACGCCAGGGTACACGTGGCCTGCGCGCGTGTGCGGCTACAGTCTGACGGCCACGATCCATAATTAGGCGGTAGCACTGCACCGAATTAGCGAAGCCACACAAAGACAACCATCGCGCATAATCATCTCATTATGCGGGATGGAGTGGGCAGACAAGAGCAATGCATTGAGTTTAACAAAACATTGTATTGTCTATTCTAGATTTAAAGCTTTCGTGACTGCAAGGATCCATACTGTTTGGTTCTATTCGGTAAAGTCACGTAAAAAACAACAACAAATTAAAAAAAATCACGACGTTTCGGCCACAACACAAGTGGCCTTCATCAGGTGAAGGGACCAGACTGTCTAGAGGACAGCGCTGGAGTGAACACAGCCAAGCTCAGACTGCGACCTTTAAGCTGTGTGAGAGGAAGCAGAGCGCCTTGACAAAGGAATTAGCATAAAAATTTGCATTTAATTGGCGGACTTAGCATGATGAACAATGTACAGGGGGGGGGGCATGTGCAGACCTGCGAGGGGCGGAGGAGGGGGAGTTTACATATTGATGGTGTGAAAAGGGAATTTAAGCAGCTGCGAAAGTTTGGGATACCACTACTTGAAAAAATATACTGTACCATTGAAAATTAGTTTAATGTTTGGTTTGATTCAGAACATCTTTCCAATGGTTGCTTAATTTGAAACCATCCTCTCGGTTGAAATTGTGTGTGTTTGTAAATCTGAATTGCCTCGTGAACAAATCTCTGATAAAAACCCGTGGGTTTGCAAAGAACCTTGGTATCGGATAAAATTACATCGTAATCACCCACAGTGTTGTAACAGTGATCAGCTACGACAGAAGATTTCGTTCTGCCGTGTTTCAAATCTGATTTGTGCTCGCGAATTCGGTTAGAGACAAGTCGTTTCGTCTCCCCGATATAGCAGTCACCACAGGTGCAGGTGAATTTGTAAACTCCGGGGTACTGTAAGTCAGGAATGACATCCTTCACGAATCAAACCAAACATTAAACTAATTTTCAACGGTACAGTATATTTTTTCAAGTAGTGGTATCCCAAACTTTCGCAGCTGCTTAAATTCCCTTTTCACACCATCAATATGCAAACTCCCCCCCTCCCCCCTCGCAGGTCTGCACATGCCCCCCCCCTGTACATTGTTCATCATGCTAAGTCCGCCAATTAAATGCAAATTTTTATGCTAATTCCTTCGTCAAGGCGCTCTGCTTCCTCTCACACAGCTTAAAGGTCGCAGTCTGAGCTTGGCTGTGTTCACTCCAGCGCTGTCCTCTAGACAGTCTGGTCCCTTCACCTGATGAAGGCCACTTGTGTTGTAGCCGAAACGTCGTGATTTTTTTCATTTTTTGTTGTTTTTTACGTGACTTTACCAAATAGAACCAAACAGTATTGTATTGTCTGTGGTCAATCATTATAGCCACCAGCGTGGTATCGCTGTGCTGTACTTCTATGCTCCCACGTGTGTGCTCCCCGCCATCACCTATCCGCACCGACCAGCGTGGTGAAGTATGGTCAAATTACCCCTCCCACCTCACGAGGTGAGGAGGCCCTCATCCACCAGTGAGGGGCTAGGGGTTGTCACGCGGGTTTGACCCCGGGTTGGACCCCGGGTTTGACCCGGCCAGTTCTGAAAGTGGCATTTCTGTGTTGAGGCAGCAGCAGTAGCAGCACGTGTGAAAAACTACTGGACATCTGTGAAAAAGAGCTTCATCGCTCATCGGATTCCTCCAGTATAAATGCATCTTCTGATTCGTGCCGAGATCTGGTGCCGCTAACGTGTCGATATCTGCACTGCCGTGGCGATCGTCCCAGTGCTGGCTGAGAAATGTGGCTGCCTTTCGTCGAGACTGGAAAGGCTGGCAAAACCCTGAGCCTTGCGTCATGTACAATGCTCTGTATATAATGGCAAAATTGGTTTTCAACATGTAACTACCGAAATAGGGTTTCAAAGAGTCATGGACTGGTATCCAATGTTTACCACAGAGTTCTTCACCGATTGTCAGCGGAGGGCCACCTGCGCCCATAAGCCATGAGTATGAGGGCAGCCACACATTTGAAACCGTTGGGGGGTTGACAGCAGCACGGTGATGATGATGATGATGGGGGGTGTTGTCACGTGTTGTCTATTGTCGAGGGGCCGCACTAAAGGCCACCAAGGGGCCTTGCAATAAAGAACACCGGTTTACCAGTTTCAATGCAGCATGGTATGGGCTTGTGAGACCCCTGCAGCCACTCGAGGCGCCACCTATCACAACAATGTCCCGCGATGAACTCTAACGTGGCGTACAAGATATAGTAATAGGTTTTACCCTTTTAACTAGCACAAAAAACTGACACCTTTATTCAAGGCATCATGTTTGCAATAACCACAACACAAGCAGTCAAAATGCAAACAAAGGAGGTCTCATATGTAAATGCTCACCCCGAGCCCTCAATACTCTGATAGTGCGCTGTTTTTGAGTTGTACGCCTTTTGGCGTCTTCTGGTCCAACACCAGTGGAGACTAGGTTCTAAGAAAAGCTGTCTCGGGTGTGGACCAATCAAAATTCAAGGACAGTGCATATTATTATCAGAGTTGTCTCTTTTGTTTGCATTTTGACTGCTTGTGTTGTGGTTATTGCAAACATGATGCTTTGAATAAAGGTGTCAGTTTTTTTGTGCCAGTTAAAAGGGTAAAACCTATTACTGTGGTGTACCAGCTTTAAAGTGTATTTTGTTTGACCAAGGTAGTCTCAATGGAAAGAGTGACCTTGGGCCATCGACATTACAACATCAAAAACAAATAAAGTGCAGCATTGAAGCAAACAGCAGCGAGAACACATACAACTGCGGCCACCATCATGACGAACACAAATCATTGTTAAATAATAGACCCCCCCCCATGGAGCGCTAATCGCCTGGGAAGATGCTGCTCACCGCGAGCTACACCATGCTCTGATAGTGCGTCGACTTTGTGATATTCGCCCTTTGGCGTTGTCGTCTGGTCTGACACTGGTGGTGAGACGAGGCCACAAAGAAGACTGTCTCTGGTGTAGAAGGCCAGTCAGTTTCAAAGACGATGAATATATTATCAGAGCGTGTTTTATTTGCATGTGCAGTAACTTGATTCCTTGCAAAAAAAGTGTATATTTGGTGTTTGAACATCTGAACAACGCCACTCCGGTTTTATTGCCAGAAAGGGTAAGACCCCATTCTTGATGTTTTTTTGTTAGACCTACAAAATAAAGTTACAATAAATACTGTGATAATTGAACTCCCACCATCGGTGCACCGAGTGAGTCGCGTGAGGCGTGAGAGGCGACGTGAAGCGAGCCACACCATGGGGCGAACGCGCCATGCACGATTTAGAGCCGCCAATAAAGTCCGCCGGCCTCCTGCGCCTTCGGGGAGTGTGGGGGGGGGATGAGTCGGTGTTTGCTTTCGCGGTAAACATCGCCTCCACGGCGCTTGTGTTCGGGCTCTTCGACGTCTGGCAACCCAGCAGCAGCAGCGGCGGCAGGGCGGCCACACCCCGCTGATGAGACGCAGATTAATAGCAGCCCGCTCCCGGTGTTTGCCTCCCGCTTAAAAAAACGGCGGCTCGCGGGCGACTCTCGTCCATTTTATGGTGGCTAGCGTGATGCCTATCGTGGTGGCTAGCTTGGTGGCTACCGTGGTGGTGCCTATCGTGGTGGCTAGCTTGGTGGCTACCGTGGTGGTACCTATTGTGGTGGCTAGCTTGGTGGCTACCGTGGTGGTACATATTGTGGTGCCTATCGTGGTGGCTAGCTTGGTGGCTACCGTGGTGGTGCCTATAGTGGTGGCTAGCTTGGTGGCTACCGTGGTGGTACATATTGTGGTGCCTATCGTGGTGGCTAGCTTGGTGGCTACCGTGGTGGTACCTATTGTGGTGGCTAACTTGGTGGCTACCGTGGTGGTACCTATTGTGGTGGCTAGCTTGGTGGCTAGCGTGGTGGTACCTATCGTGGTGGCTAGCTTGGTGGCTACCGTGGTGGTACCTATTGTGGTGGCTAGCTTGGTGACTAGCGTGGTGGTACATATTGTGGTGGCTATTATGGTAGCTATTGTGGTACCTCTCGTGGTGGCTAGCTTGGTGGTACCTATCGTGGTGGCTATTGTGGTGGCTATCGTGGTGGCTATTGTGGTAGCTATTGTGGTAACTATCGT